AGGAGCCAAATGCAGCTTTTCCATGCTATTTGACGGGCTATGCTAACCCTTGGACCTACTGGCAAAGTGATCCCAGTCAGGCTATTCTAAGTGTTTTTAAAAAGCTCCAGAGCTCCCAGGAGAGCCTCAGCCCAGGGCATGGGGGGGCTTGCTCTCTGCAGCTGGGAGGAAACGCACATACGGGACCCCCGACGGAAGCTCCAAGTAGGAGGGGAAAAAAAAGAAAGAAAATCTGCCGTTTCAGGCACGCCTTTTCTTTAAAGCCAGCCCTGCCTCAGCTCTATGCATACGCCAAATCCACAACTGAGAGCAAGAGAGAGGGGGGAAAAGGGAGAGTGGGAACCGGCAAGCGCCGAGTGAGGAGGGGGTGGGGAGGACAGGAAAGGAGGAGAGCAGAGGAACGGGGGCAAGCAGAGGGAGGGAGAATTAGAGTGGGAGCAGTAAAGAAAAAGAGCAAAGGAGAGGTGGTGGGTTGAGAGGGTAAGAGAGGGAGAGAGCACTCAGACAGCAACGCTGATACAAGATCACTGGCAACTCTATTTTAAGGGCAATTCCCAGAACTGTGATACTGCATTACATAACTGCAGAGAGCCCATATTGTTTTTAGACACCATGCCAAAAATGATAAAAGAGATGGTTAGAAAGGGCCCACATCTGAACAAGAGGAGACTTATAGCCAAAGAAAGATGTCACTTTTGAGTTTCGGGCCCCCTTCACACCTGCACAAAGCTCCAGAGGCCACAGGCTTCACCACATTAGAAAACCAGGTGAGAAACATCTGATCAAATATTGTGACATATGCATTTCAGCATCTGCAGTCACACATTGTTTGATATGTAACATCTGAGTCAAGGTAACTAGCGTTTCCATTGTTCTACAGTAGGAAGAAAAACACTTTTAAGCAATGTTAATGCAACATACTGATAATAACCCGAGGAAATGATGTCCTTAAACACCAAGGCTTGTTCAAATAACGCTTTGTTCAGGTCCAGAAATGGCTCAGACTTCAAATAAATTAAATTATCTGTGAATCTGTCCGAATAGGAATCTCAATTAGTCAATGAATCAGTCTATGTCAAAAAGCAAGAAAATTCCAACCAATTTCCGAATGCCCAAGCTGACTTCTTCAAATATCTTGCAATCAACAGTCACAACACAAATATATTCATTTAATATATCATATTAATATAATAAAGCAAAGCAATGTCTTAACAGATTTAAGTAGCTGGAAAAAGAGTTTGCAACCAATCATTAATGCTAAAAGATATCACAATTAGGCCTCAAAAATTGTGTTTTGAGACCCTGATAAGTATACATCACACTAACCATGACCCACTCTCAGCATGGCCACACATTTTGCATTTAGTTTTCCATGGTCAACCACATCATCTGGTAATTTATCAATAGTTTATCACCAGCCAAAAAAACAAAGCACCAACTTCAGTACCAGCCATACTGCAGTAGGGAACCAGGTCAACTATCATCAGTGGTAATAGATGAGAAATGAGCCCTGCAGAGGGGCCTGAAATAGCAATTCTTAAAGCTGAAAATGATTGTATCTCCATAAAAGGCCAAGGAAAAACGTTAATTAGATTTTCACAGATTTGTTCAGGATCCAATGACTACTCACCCACAGAGGACACAGGTGAGGGAGGCAAAGGGGTTAGTCTTTTCAGAAATGTGCATCATTAACCTAGAATATAGTAAAATAAACTACAAATAGATAATATGAACTTAATAAACATGAAGTAAAACGACATCCTGAGATAAATACCTGCCTTAAAAAATGACTTCATGTCTCTTACAATTTCACAACCTCTAGCTAGGTCTTTTGGTGACAGGTATGCAAGTTACATGCCCTGTCGTCATTTCTAACCCATACTAACGTCCATTTGAACGGGGTTTTCCAGCTATAACATGACTATGACATTTATGCGTGCTGGTTTGACAGATCCACCATCTTTCAAACATGCCGGGTGACAGCAAAGCTGCGCTGTCTGACCAACTAGCCAGCCTGCTAAGTAGCAGAGGAGCTAACTACCTCACGTTACTGACACTTCTGCCTACAGTTCTCCTATTCAATGCAGCTATTACACATTACTAGTCATTGTTCCGGGTGAAAATAAGAAACACAAGGAAGGATACATGTTAAGTCCAGGTCGAAGCCATCCTCTTGATATCTCCTTTTGTTCCGGCTGACCATTTCTTTTATAATCGCAGCCATTGTAGCCGGTGACAGGAGTCTATATGGGGTAAATGATGAAAACAGGTATTTCTAGTATTATCTGTCTGGTCGTGTATGTCGCAGTCAGAGGGTCCGCTCTGTGAATTTTGCAGGGTCCTCGCAGAGAAGTGCTAGCCAGCAGAGCTAGCCGTGGCTGTCGGTAGGATTAGAAAGGCTTCCTCTGGATCATAAAGACGGGCCTTGCTCTGCTCCTCCGTGCAGGCCCGACTTCGCCAATCCTGCAATTCGTCTTGCAAACAGTCCCGAATAAAATACATGCAGTTGTCCTTTAGATGCCAGACACCGTCCAATCCGATGGTTCAATCGCAGCCGCCGAGATTGACAGCGAGAGGACCGAGTATTCGCCGGTTCCCAAAAACCCGTATCCAAGTCACTCAAACGGAGCTAGCTCGCTAGCTAACGAGCTAGCCAGCACTAGCAACAATAGCTAATGCCACCTCCTTTTTCGATCCAAAAGCCTCCTAACGATTCAACATTGTCATCGACTGATTGCCAAGAACACATCTGAAAAAAGTGACAGGCTCCACCTTAAATGTATAAAGACTATACAACGATCAGAAATATGCACAGATTGGTTTGACAGTTCCGTCCCGGGGAATCATCTTCTTTTCTCGTTCCTCTCTCCAGCTGAACTCTCAGGCTCCCATCATGGCCTCCACCGAAGGAAAAAAAGAAGGTAGAGCAGGCTGGGATTTTAGAACAAATATCCCGCCGCCTTCGCTGTATAGTCCCACACTTTCATTAAAATCGGCAATGCGGCGTTAATTCATTTTGTCTCAACAATTAATACTACATTGTAGTGAATAAACATTTAAATGTGTAATTTTTTTTAATCCATAAACAGCGGAAAAACCGAGTTATTATTTTGCCACTCGCGGAAGGATAAAGTGAATCCGCATGCGACGCTCCCTTCTGTCAAAGTGATCACGTGTGGCTGTAATTAGGGAAGTTTCCAACATAATGTCACTTTTCGCGGTTTAAAACTGTCATATCATGTTGTATGACACATTTTTTTGTAACCCCCTTAATGTTTTCAAAATGCATTATGTTTAAACTGTAAATCCATATCCTCTGTAGTACCTGTATTGCCTTCTGTATTCGCTGTCCTCAAATAAATCCGAAAGTAGTAAACCAACGTTGATAATTGCAGAAGCAATAGACTGTAATGTTATTTTTCTAACATGGTTGTCCTTTTTTTTTAAATGTGCTATATAAATAAAGAAATATTGAGATTGACGCACACTATCGGTGAATAAAACCCATTGCATCATCCATAACTAAATTAAAGTCACAGCTTTTAACAATAACATGTTCATGATTGTATAATCATAGGATAATAATAATAATAATAAAAATATATAATAATAATAACAATACAACAAAATATAATAAATTAATAATAAAAATATATAATAATGATAATGATAATGATAATAATAATAATAATAATAATAATAATAATATAATATATATAATAATAATAATATAATAATATTTACTCAAGACTTTACAAGCAGACAAAGAAATTATCCCAAAATCTTCTGAAGTAAGCTGAGGAAGGCTAAGCTCTAGATCTGAAACAATGTGTCAACTAATCAATCCACATACAGTTAAACAGCATTCATTTTGATTATCAACTAATCCATTATTTTTTTAAATAATTATAAGTTGAAGTGCAGAAGGTTAACCGGTTCCCAATGAGGGAACTTCTCATTCCTTTATGATTACATTTGTTTGATTTTAGTTGTGAATACAATACATACACTTGGACTAGACTTGGAATGTATTCATTTGAAATTCAATTAACCGATTAAACAATTGCAAAAAATAAGCATTAATTGCATTTCCACCCTACCAGAACAATTGTTTTGCCTTTCAGAATCAGCCCTGGAGGTCCATTATTGCTAAAGCCAAACAGTATCAGCCACAGAATGAGAAGGGATACACATTCAAAGTATCCTCTAATAAACTGTGTGCAAAAAATAAGACTACATCTAGAACCATGAGGCCATACTCAGCCAATGTCTATGCAACCTGAACACCTGAGTGGAACGTTTTTTTTAAAAAACATGGTCAGCCTACATACAGATATTTTAGGACTGTGGTATACAAGAGACAGTAACAGTAGCCGTCCTTTCTTTATTTAAGTACAGTAGTTTGAGATGTTATAAAGCACTGAGGGTGCAGTTCAGCAGATTGAAATGGGGTTACCTGGAACAGCAGGTTAAATGATCTGATCTTATGTGAGGATTTTATATTGGCAAAATGAATCAGTTCACTCAATTACATTTAATTTGAAAGCGTATAGGATATTCTTGATCTGTTATAAATTATCTGGCTTTTTTTTTTAAAGCACACCTCTGTGTTTTATAATATAAACAAATGTGCACATAATAGATTTATTAAGAACATCTCCACAGTCGACAGTGACTTCTACTTGTAGTTCCCCCAGTCTTTCAGCAGAAACTAAAGGTAGACACGGAGGGTGGGTTGGGTGTCAGTGAGATGAGTTATCTTGATAAGTGCAGTTATAAAACTCTGCCCGTAATAGAAACCCACAGTGACTGTGCTTTTACATTTACAGTAGTTCCTCATTCTGTACTTTTTTATTGTCCTGTACCACTTCTTGCCACCAGAGGGCAGCACTGCACTTTTGGCTTTGCAGCCCCAGAATGCAACACTTCCCACTCGATTTCAACCTGTAATCTGTGATTGATAAGTAAGAACCTTGTACAGACAAAAGTTAACGAGGGTGTGTTGCATATCCTCGTTTATTAGAAATAATCTTGCGCAATATTCCAGTGTCAGGAAGTCACCAATGATTCATAATGACTAACAGATTTCTTTATTACTGCATTTGTCTTCCTAAAAGTCTTTATTACATCAATTCACATGCCCACTTTATAAAATCACTCAAATCTCAGAGACATTTCAGACACTTCAGGCAAACATCAGCAACAGTTTCTGTTTTATAATGTTGACATTTGAGAAAGGCACTTTCACATTATACAAACATCTCTGATGTATTTCACAATGGTATGAAACATTAACATGATGAATTAATCAACATCCATACATGTAACACAAATAGGCACTGTAGGTAGTAATATACTGCATCTTTCATACAGGTCATACAAAGAACTGGACAGACAGTGATATAATTGCCATAAAATGCAATAAAAGTGTTTTGTTTTTTTCAAGCATCCCTCAGACAATTCATATGATAATGATTTCCATGACCCAGAATGTGTTCCTAAATTACAAAAAGAATCTCAAGTTACCTTTAATTTATTAAAATATATAGCTTAAGTTAATATGGATATAAACATACAATGGATTCAAAAATCACATAGTTTTAAAGGAATGTAAAAATCTAACTGCATAATACAAAACCTTTTGATTTGGTGAAGACTTGTTCGAAACACCCACCCCCTGCCAGAATAACTCATTATTTGTAGCAATTTAAAATGAGTATTTTTGTGTAAAATAATCTAGAATACCACTGGAGGGGAGACTGTATATATAACCCCCTTTGAGAAGTGATGCAGTGCTGCTGTCACTGTGTTGATTACTTGTCCTTCTGCAGAGAGGTATAGTACTCGACCAGCACCTTCCAGGCCTTGGGGGCCATGAACCCATTGGGAGGGTTGTCTCCGCTGCGAGCCATGTTCCTCATCTTGGTGCCAGAGATGAACTCAAAGTCAGCATGTCTGAGAAAGTGAGCATTGAAGAAAGAGTAGTTTAAAGAGAGAGTGGGCAGGACAAGTTAGTAGAATCATACCATAGGGACCTACATAAAACCACACTGAAATACAAAAGAGTGGGCCTAAGAAATGAGATAGAATTTATAATAAATACAGTGTATCCGGAAAGTATTCATACCCCTTCACTTTTTCCACATTTTGTTATGTTACAGCCATATTTCAAAATGGATTAAATTTATTTTTTTCCTCAACATTCGAGACACAATACCCCATAATGACAAAGTGGGAAAAGTTTTTTAAATTTCTTTTGTAAATGAATTAAAAATAAAACACTCAAATATCACATGTACATAAGTATTCACACCCTTTACTCAATACTTTGTTGAAGCACCTTTGGCAGCAATTACAGCCTCAAGTCTTCTTGAGTATGATGCTACAAGCTTGGGCAGTTTTCCCATTCTTCTTTGCAGATCGTCTCAAGCTCCATCAGGTTGGATGGGGAGCGTCGGTGCACAGCCATTTTCAGATCTCTCCAGAGACGTTCAATCGGGGTCAAGTCTGGGCTCTGGCTGGGCCACTCAAGGACATTCACAGACTTGTCCTGAAACCACTCCTTTGTTATCGTGGCTGTGTGCTTAGGGTCGTTGTCCTGTTTAAAGGTGAACCTTCGCCCCAGTCTGAGGTCCAGAGCGCTCTGGAGCACGTTTTCATCAAGGATCTCCCTGTACATTGCTGCATTTATCTTTCCCTTGATCCTGACTAGTCTCCCAGTTCCTGCTGCTGAAAAACATCCCCACAGCATGATGCTGCCACCACCACGCTTCACTGTAGGGATGGTGTTGGCCAGGTGATGAGCGGTGCCTAGTTTCCTCCATACATGATGCTTGGCATTCAGACCAAAGAGATCCATTTTGGTTTCATCAAACCAGACAATTTGGTTTCTCATGGTCTGAGAGTACTCTAGGTGCTCCATGGGGGCTTTCATGTGCCTTTGGTGCTCCTTCTGGCCACTCTACCATAAAGGCCTGATGGCGGTGGAGTGCTGCAGAGATGGTTGTCCTTCTGGAAGGTTCTCCCATCTCCACAGAGGAACACTGGAGCTCTGTCAGAGTGACCATCAGGTTCTTGGTCACCTCTCTGGCTAAGGCCCTTCTCCCCCGATGTTCAGTTTGGTTTGGGCAGCAAGCTCTAGGAAGAGCCCTGGTGGTTTCAAACATCTTCCATTTGCAAATGAGAGACCACTGTGCTCGTTGGGACCTTCAATGCTGCATACATTTTTCTGTACCCTTCCCCAGATCTGTGCCTTGATACAATCCTGTCTCTGAGGTCTACAGACAATTACTTGGACCTCATGACTTGGTTTGTGCTCTGATATGCACTGTCAACTGTGTGACCTCATATAGACAGGTGTGTTATTTTCTAAGTCATGTCCAATCAATTTAATTGACCACAGGTGGACTCCAATCAAGTTATAGAAAGATTTCAAGGATGATCAGTGGAAACGGGATGCACTTGAGCTCAATTTTCAGTGTCAAAGCAAAGGGTGTGAATACTTATGTACATGTGATATTTAATTTAATTATTTTTAACACGTTTGCAAACAATTCTTTAAAACCGTTTTCGCTTTGTCATTATGGGGTATTGTGTGTGGGACATTGAGAACAAAAATGAATTCAATCCATTTAGAAACAAGGCTGTAACATAACAAAATGTGAAAGAAGTTAAGGGGTATGAATACTTTCCGGATGCACTGAAAAAATATATATTGTTTTGGCTTGAGAGATTTGGGCCTACACATGTGTGCAGGAGGATATATTGTAAAACTGAATCAGAATTTCACAGAAAGTCACAAAAATGCAGTGAATAATAAGGATTTACTGCACATTTGCTCCAGTTTGTTTTGCACTTGGGTTCAAACCGGGACAACCATGTCAGTAAAAAACAAACAAAAAAAAAAAAGTAGACAACAGGACCAAAAAATGAAACAACTGCAGATTTCTTCTTCACGTACCTCTCTTTGTCGTAAAAGTCCATCGCCTGCTTTGTCTTGTTGTAGGCGGCGACCCTGAAGGGGATGATCTCCACGGAGGTGAGGCCCGGCGCCATGGTGAGGACCTTGCTTCCGTGGGTGGGGTCATACAGGTCCTGCTTAGTCACCGGGTGAGGCATGCCAGCTGGGTCCCGGCCAACGATGTAGAAGTTTGCCCCGGCGACCATTCTGGCTCTACAGTGCCACTGAACCTGATTACGCAATAAATAACAATCAGGTTAATATTTAATCACACGTAAATATATGGTGGAACTGTAGAAAGTGACCGATGGTAACCTCTGGCTAAAGAATAAGCCAGCGCTCCTCACCTCTGTGGGTCCAGCGTACATCATAGGTGAGGGGAAGATGGCGACTATGGTGCTGGCGGGGTCCAGGACGCCCTCCTCCAGCACAGCAGAGTGCTGCTTCATCCTCCAGGCCAGAGGCACGTCGTCGTCTTTGGTCCAGCCTCCAAGCGGGTGCAGCAGCAGCACGGGGTTCTTGTAGCCGCGCTCCAGCAGACGGCGCTTGGTGTCCTGCATCAGCAGCGCGTGGCCGTTGTGCACCGGGTTACGCAGCTGGAATGCAAATACCGCATCTAAGGAGGACAATGTGGAGGAGGGGGACAAAACAAAGTTGAAAGAGCAGTATTTGTTGTAATAGCAGCATTGTTGTGGTACAGTGGAGCCGTCGAGCTGATGATTGGGGCAGCTTGGAATATGTGGAGCTTCTTGTGCATTTGAATAATTTTCACACAAAACATGCCCATAATATTCTCAACTCATTTTGCATTAAAGGTCACCTATTATGCAAAATCCACTTTTTCCTGTCTTTTATACATAACCATGTGTCCCCTCTGTGTAAAGAGATTCTGAAAGTTTCACTTTTTGTCCTGATCCATTTAAATAAAAACCTGTCTGAAAATGAGCTGATCAGATTTTGGCCACTTTCTGATGTCATAACGATTTTTTGGCTTGTGTAACCATTAGCCAATACCCAACCAAGATAACACCCGCCTGTGGGGGAAACTTCTGTGTAGCAATGCATTGGGAGTCACCGACTCAGGAAGGAGACACGGTGAGAGTTGGAGCTTTTGATGTCAAACACTGATGGGTTTATTCAGAGTATCGGCCGGAGGATTCACATCACAAGTCAAAGAGTCAGAGGTTCTGACTTCACGGTAGAGTTGCCACGTAAATTCTGAAGAGCCTCTCTCTATGCTAGACCTTTTAACTGGTTCACAGAGAGTAATCAACATCTCTGAAGGAGTAGACTAAACAGCTGGGAACACTGAGCGACCTGCCTCCGACACTCATGGCCTCAAAGATTTCACATCCTAGAGTCCACAAACACCGATAAAGAAGTGCCTCAGCGTTCTCACAACAAGTACCATTCGTGCCAGACAAGTTGACTGGTCACAAACTGGTGACAACAACACATATGGCACCAAGGCCTTTCCTTAAAGGAGATAACAGACGTCAGAGTAGATCATAAAACGTCACAGAGCAAAAGGTTAGATATCTAGAATAATGATTCCTTAACACCGCCCACCTTATCACCTGAATCTCCTCCTAGAGCACCATTGTGTTCTTTTTAACCAAATATCTCGCAGAGGGGCGTGGAGAGTGGCTCCTTATTTTCATCTAAAGTAACAGACAGAGAATCAGCACTTTTGAAACAGGGCTGAAACAGAGGGGATTATGGGATGCTACAATGGGTGATCTGTTTGGTATTTGGAGCCAAACACTTCAGAGAAATGTTTTCTATATATCTGAGACCTATAATAAAGTAATGAAAAACAGTATAACAGGGGACCTTTAAATTGCTTGTGGTTTGTGATAAAAGGGTGTTTATATTCTATATTTATCTTATTGTCAACAAATCCCATAAAAAAGACTAAAACCAACAATGAATGTATCTTTTTAACAGGTGGTTTGTATTAAGTAAGTAAGTGTAAGTAACGGTTTAAGTGTAGCAAAGCCTAGCTTATTCTTTCAATGTCATTAAGTTCCGTTGTTGTCCAATAACAATTAGGAGCTCGGAAAGGTTTTTCCTGTTCATTGGGTTTGTTGACATTAAGAACATATAGAACAGTGTCAGCCAAATTGTGCACATCACAACAACATGCTAGCACCAGTAACAAAACTGCCACTTGAACCAAAGAGCAGCAAAGCATTGAAAAAACAGAAACAGAAAGCCCATACCGTGTTGTGCTGCAGATGAATAAGTGACAAGACTTTGAACATAGTATTCAAATCCTAGTGAGCAAGAGACCGTTCTTTTTCATTGTTCTTTACTTTTCAAAGAAACTATACATCTCCATTGATCACTGCACACAGATCACAAAAATCATCATGCAGCTAAAAAATTACCATTTTACTTTTTGCATCTGGTCCTTTTTCAAGTTCTTCTGAAAGACAAATGGTGCACTGCTAAATACATTGCTTTCATTTGTATGTTTATTTGTGTTTTTCCCCGGCTGTGAAGGATATTTTGTTTAAGTAATGGTATTAATCTTAAGTGTCACCTTGGTAGCTACTTGCCACACATTGAAAGCCCTTTTGCCTTCTCTTGTAGTCGCTGTAGGTTTGTGATTAAGTCATTTCTAACCTGCTTTCATGTCTTTAAACTTCTGCTTCAGCTCCTGTGGAGTAAGGCGGTACTGGTCGAGCCCATCGTTCCATTTGATTCGCTCCAGCACTTCCAGGTCACCGCCTACCAGCCAATCACCTCCCTCCAAAATCATCTGCACAAGGTGATAAAAGGAGAATTAGAATAGCATTATAGAATACTATAATTATGATTTACTTTCCAAAAATCACACATTTAAATATTAACACTCTATAACCCAGGCAAACAAAGTGAGTTTGCAGATCAATCATGTGGAAGGTATAACGTTTATAACTACGTGTTGAAGACATTTGATGAAAGCCTTATCACCTTAATGTGAGGGTGCTGTGGGCAGGTGGTGCCCCACTGCCTGGCGCAGCGTTCCTCCTTGCAGTGTGGGTAGAACTCAGGGTTCCTGAGAATAGCGACGCGTGAACCCTGGTACTCCAGAGCGACCGCCGCACAGCCGTCCAGCTGCTGCTTAATCTCCGAGGCAACAGGCAGCACAATGGGCACTGACAAGTTGATGGCCCCACCTGAGACAAATGACGATACGGTTAACTTAAGCAGTACACAAAAGCAAATATTGTGTCAGAACTGATATTTAAACAATTTACTGCACACCCGTCACAACCCATTTTTAAGGTACGACTTTTCCAGCAGCTATCCCGGACCAGGATTAGTAAATACACTTTAATTAGAACAAATATATCCCTACTGTATATTGAGTAACACACACCACATGCGAGAGGACATTCAAATTAGGTAGAAGCCACATTTTTTTTAAACTGTGGCCGAAAAGTAATTATAAAGCACTTTAAATAGTTGCAAAAAGTAAAGACAACAGTTGAAATAGACAAGTTAAAGAAAAAGTATGTTTAAAAGCATGGGGGATAGATGATAGTTAACTCAAATGTAAAAAAGTAATCTATATAATGGCTCTATGTGTTGTACAGCCAGCTTTTTTTTCTGTTTGGTTTTGTTTCTGTGGTAAACTGATTTCGCTGTTTGTTCTTCTCTCTAGGAACATATCAATTGTTTGGATGGGTGTGACTGAGTAGCTTTGTTTCAAAATAGGGTGCACCTTTTTTCTGTTCAAACATTCATCGCATTAGTTTTCTTGCATAACGATAATAACAATGCACAATCAGTTTTAACAATCAGAATGAAAGTGATCAAGCCAGGTTGATACTGGTGTGTGTGTCCTGGCGATTATAAGAAGAGTAAATATGTGCCCTCGTCTCTCACCATCCAGCAGGTTGCCGAAGTGTAAGACCTGCAGGAACTCTCTCTCTCTCATGAAGCCCTTCAGCGGGCTGGCCCAGCCTTCTGACAAGACCTGCACCCACTGTAGATCCAGCTGTGGACAAAGAATAAACACCCAATATATTCAGCATTATAGACGTTTAACGCCTGGATTTAACTGCCCCGATGGTATATGGAGTACCATCAAATCAGTAATTACACCAGGAATAAAAGGATCAAGAAAATGTGGAGGTTTTAATACTGGACGATATAGGGTAACACTTGCATTAAACAGCCGTATTGCTCTGCTGACATATTTATGGTCAATATATTAATTTCTCACTAAACCATAACAAGATGGTCTGAAGCGACATACACAACGTATGGATAAATAATAATATGTTTCGTTCTTATTTCAAATACACAAATAGAAAAGTGGAAATTAACCATTTGATCCCCCCACAGAGAATATACAATTAAAAAGAAGGTTAATTTATATGTTGTCAAGGTTGAAGTGCTGCTCTGATTCAATTATCATTATTTCCACGCTGCTGCATGCCTGCTAGGCTTTTATGTTTTCATTAGTACCCAGAGAAGTTAGAGCAGACTACTGCCAAGTCCAGTATTGCCCTCCATGTCCATTTGCAGTATTATTAGAAAAATCCTGTTTACTGGAGCTGTGCGTTACCTTGGTGATGCTGATGGTAGGAAGCGTGTTCGCGTCAGCCACAGCAAGATTCAGTTTGTTCTCTTTAACAAAGAGTTCATTCACCTCCTCCATGATCTCGCCTGGTACAATGTTCTGTATGCAAGGACACACACATATTATTATCAGAATGAGATACTGTGGGTAATGTAAGACTGCAACTCATTTTATTTTAATCTGATTAATGTAATTAAGTATTTCATAGTAATACAAAACGTTTCATTGTAATACAAATCGACCCATTCCCATAGTGAAGACCAACAGTACAAAGACAAACAGCAGATATTTATATTTGAGAAGTTGGAAGTAAAGAATGTTGTGCATTTGAAAAAGACAATGTGTTTGATATTTATTCAATAAATGTGCCACAACTGGCCAGCCATTGGTGTCCCATACTGGTGCCAAACTAATTATTGGCATTGCATGTAAGGAGATTAAAAAAGGGTAATACTCTTGGGAATGCAAGAATATTACCAGTTGCCTGATCATTCATATTGCATATCCAACATTGTTCTACTGCCATCTTTCAAAGGAATGCCGGTGGTTACGCAAATCACACACAACTTGTGTATCAATGAACATTTTCTTGGGAACTCATTATGAAACTCATATGCATGTATGTGCATGCTTGTATTCTGATCCAGGATATAATAGTCTTCTCAGCCAGAGTGAACAGGAGGCCATTTTCAGAAAATATTTCCCCAACTCGTTTTGCAGCATGTTTTTATTTAAATGTAAGTCACCTCTGCCTTAGCATATATTACTTTTCTTTCAGCAAAGCTTTGGTCTCGGCAGCAGAAGCAGTGTTGCATGTCGGGGCGTGGCAAAAAGTCACTCACTGAGTGCAAAGTTAAACTGAAATGTTACTTATTCTCATCTGTAAAAGCTGTAATGGTGAAAATATTTTATTATACAGAAGGCACCTTTCTAGTAATCCAAAGCACATTTCAAATAAGATAATAATCTTTTAAATGTTTATTCTGATATCATATGCTTTTATTCCTTAAGTATGCTGTGGTTGAGTTCTTTTAGTTGATTAATTATTGTTTGCTTTGTGATTAATGCTTAATCTGCTGTTATCAACCAAACAACTCCAATGGTCAATAGTGTTGTTAAAAGCCCTGCCTTTTCAAGTCTTTATTGCATCTTGTCTAAATGTCTAAAATCATTGTTTGTGAAAGCCTGATAATATAGCCCATCCCTGATTACATTAAACCAGTTTGGGACAATAGATACTTATTTAAACAGGGATAGGCTATATAATCTGTGTATTGACAGCCTTAATGGATTTTACATTAACGTCACTTGTACAGATGTCTCTTTGTCACATCCCTCAGCTAAGACCTGTGGGGTTTAAATATAATATTTGTCCTGTCCCAGGGAAAATGTCATACTGTAAACTGACAATGAGGATGCGACACCCACCTGCTCCCTGAGCAGCTCCAGCACCTGATGCAGGCACTCGTTCACTGTGAGCTCTCCGGTTTTCAGCACAAGATCCGGCGCCTCAGGACGCTCATAATCTGCGTCAATCCCAGTGAAACCTGACAAAAAAATGTGAAACCATGAAAATAAATGTCATTGAAATCCATCAGCCTTCATATTACATTTCTATTTCAGTGTGAACAAGGGCTTGGCAATGCTTGAATCATTTTTTATGTGGCGGTAAGTATTGGCAGGAGGTTTCCTGAGGTGAGCATTGTTGCACAGACCTTTGATCTCTCCGGCGCGAGCCTTCTTGTAAAGTCCTTTTACATCCCTGCTCTCACACAGCTCAAGAGAAGCGTTGATAAACACCTCAAAAAATGGCAGCCCTACACCTGCATGGATCTTCCTCGCCTCTTCCCGATCCTGTGGAGGAAAATAGTAGATATGTTTCATTAGAATGTGGTTTAAAGTTGAATTACGTATTCCACACGGCTGATATTTTATATTTTTTCAAGAGATCTTTTGAACTATTTAAATATAACAGATATGCATCAGTATAGTGTTATTTGACAGCCATTTTAATTTAGTCCTATTCCTGTTTCTATTTAGTCACCTCATCCTGTTTTGTCATCAAGTTTTAGCTGACTGAAAATCTGGGCAATTCTTCTTATTTAAGTCAAAGAAAATTGTACTATAGGAGATTGTAAAAGAGTATTTTATTATAGTTTTAGTCAATGAAAGCTGTTGTAATATAAGACTCCTTTAGTTATCAGATTATAATGAACACATGAACTCGTGTTTTATTTCTCCAAAGCCCTAATGAGTTAATTGTTAACTTTTCCTATCCCTAGTCCTATTGAAACTTAATCCTGATATATCATATTTCATCTTCTCTTATCGTCATTGAAAAACAGATTAAAGGTGGGGTAGGTAAGTTTGAGAAACCGGCTCGAGATACACTTTTTGTTATATTCCATGGAATGCTCTTAACATCCCGATAGCAATGAATATCTTAAGTGCTTTGACAGAAAATCCATAAAAAAAATTAATCTGTGGAAGCCGTAGTACTGTAAAAAGCACGACCAATCATTTTAGCCGGCCCGGCTAAAATAACTGGATGGCCTACCTGCCTGTCAGCCTTCCATCTGTGCACAAACTTATCTCGTGCCCTCATTGGTCATGTGCGCGTTCGTGTGTGTTGGAGGAGGGGCTCTGTAAGGAAGTGGCAGATTTTTTCCGGCTGTGTATTTTCAAATTCTAGCGCACTCGAGCTGGTTTTTCCAAAATTACCTACCCCACCTTTAAGGGAACGTTTTTATTGTTTAATCTACTACAGTCAAGTATTAATTGGTCAGACATATTGCTAGTTTATAATCATTGTGATCAAAAAAAGGTGGTTGGCAAACAATGTTAGTCACAGTTTTAATTCAACATTAGCAGCACTTGGCTTTGGGCTCTTAATGTTTTCTGACCTTGCTGAAAGGAGAGATGAAGCTGGTGACGCACACCATCCCGGCGTCAGCAAACAGTTTGGCCACCTCAGCAATACGCCGGATGTTCTCCTCGCGGTCTATGGAAGAGAAGCCCAGGTTCTTGTTCAGCCCTTGGCGGATGTTGTCTCCGTCCAGTGAGTAGCACGGAATAGCGTGGGACACGAGGAATTCTTCCAGGGCAAAACTGATAGTAGTCTTTCCAGCACCCGATAAACCTAAACAGAAAATGTGACAAGACAAGCAAACATGAGCGCATTGTTTTTTAACAGTCCATATCAGATTAACCTTTATGGAACCACATTATGAGCAAATGACCAATAGGTGCACGGTAGAGATTTACCGGTGAGCCAGATGGTGCAGCCTCTGAAGCCCCCCCTGGTGCCCACCACCTGCCCTCTCTTGGTGCGGCTGACATTGTGGGCCTGGTACACCACATTGGTCGACCTGTTGAGATCCTAAAACAGAAGAAATCACACGATAAAGACAAACTAAAGTTTGAGCAGAAGGTAGAAAAAAGCTAAATTTTACTAGTTGTAATAATCCATCTGATTTAAACATCTGTACGCCAATCCAAAAATGTTGTCAAGTAAGTAGGTATGGGCGATATAGATGAAAGGTATTATCACAATATAACAGAAGATCTATAACAGTCGCAAAATCAAAACATGACAAAACCTGCAGCTTTAGAAACAAGGAAAAAATGACACTTTTATAATATCCAACATTTTAGTGAAAATGTTGTCTCATATTACGATTTAGCTATTTAATCAATATATTGCCCAATTTGCCCAGCCCTAGATCTAGCCATAATTATGTTTGACATGAGATTTGTCTTACGGCACAACGTGGCACTTTAGTGATAATCATAGCAAGACTTGTTTTACATGCTCTGTCCAAAGAGACTGTGTGGATAAATGGCTGTATTGACTTCTCAAGGGGAGGGGTAGTGGAGTGAGGCATGATGGGAGGACTGACTGGACAATGTGTCCAGTGTGTTGCCTGCAGCCCAGCGATGATGTGGCAGTGCTCGTGCCCACACATTCGCCCTCTGTCCGCACCCACCTTCCCCTCATACCTGCATCCATGCCATGGCTTCACTTTTCAAATCTCTCTTCTTTCGCCTCTCAAAAACGACTCTCCCCCATGCAAAACGTTGTGTGTTTTAATAAGAGCGACACAGATATAATATATATTATGTTTGTCTTTCTAATGGAGGGAATCATTACATTTGCTGGGTTTATTAATGTATCAAATCTGTACCAAAAATGTAAAGAAAGGTTTTTAAAAAATGGGAAAGAAAAGTTTTAAAATCCATAGTGTGATGGGATGTAAAAGTATAGTACTATCATTATTTGTGATTACGTTTCTTGAGGAGCACCATTTGAAAGTAACCCACTGCTCCCACTAACAGTTAATAGGTAGTACAAAGGTACTTAAAATGCTTTTATGATGGGCCTCATTTTCCCCAAAGGACACATTGCCTACAGACAAACAGGACTGTTCTTTGGGTTCGAGAAAAGCGCTATAAAAATAAAATGTATTATTATTATTATTATTGTTCTTCCACAAAAGGGAGAAACCTTCTCTCAGTCCACCTCAGATTCCCACTGCAAGCAGACCGCTCCTAATCCTCTCTTCCTTCCTACATTCATGGGAACATGATGTATATATGTTGTCTGTGCACTTACATCAAAATCAAGGCACTTCATAACTGTGTATTCATGAAAGAGTACCTTCAAGGCTCCTTGCTTTAGAAATGCTTTTAAGCACAACTATTACTTGACTTCACGATACTAATCATATTTTATGTAATTCCATTTTAGATCTCTTTTTAAAATGTTGCTTGCTTTTAGATTGAATTGACCTACTGAAAAGGACTTTCCACTGCATTCCTTTGTAGTGAACTTACAATAAACTCTAATTCGGAAGACCTTACATAACTCTTTTCCTCTCTACAGCTAACATCCTCCTTCTCAGGAAATCACAAAAGATCAATTATGATGATATTGTGGTAGTAAATGTCTCTGCTGGAAACTAGTGAACATTTTCATCACCAACTGGTCGGTCACTTCAAATATGAATTGTTTTTGCCATAAAATGACAGGAATGCCCCCATTTACACATCTAAATTGATATTTCTGTTGAATTGACAACCAGTCATTACTCACTTTGAAGTAGCTGGAAGCAACAACTGAGTGAACCCATGCATTTCTCTTTGGAAATAAAATACAGGGTTCTTCTTAAAAGCAGCACATTTGCTTTGTGACCAATACATTCTAGTTTGCCTATTAAATAAGTTGCTGACTCTAAGAAAAGGACTCACCTTGTCTGCTCTAGTGCACACTATGGATGTATCAGGTGCACACTTTGAGGATTTTGCCTACAAAATACACACAGGTCTTTGTGCATGGAAATGTTTTTGCTTACAGTTAATGGCCAATGTTATTCTTATAGTTTTTGAGATGACTTCACATAATGTTCTACAAGTAAGCAGCATTCCTGTGTGCAGCATCAGACTGCCTTTTCACAGTGGCCTCTTTCTCCCCCTCACTAGCGTTATGAATGGACCAAATTGACATGGGAAAGTTACTACAACAACCGGCCTATTCAGAGTCAATGCAAGTCTGTTACCATCACACCTGGTAGTTAGTACATTACAGTAAAGAGGCAGAAAAGCGAACAAGGCGTTGCAGAAAAGGGGTTTTAAGCAGCAATGCAGGGTTACTTGTAATTGACAAGTATTCGACAAGAAATACTGCTTTTTCGTGCAACCGAGTTTCACCAAAAAGGAAAGTGTTAATGTGTATTAATAAGATTTATTTGACACACAACTCCTCGGGAGGAGTGTTAAATCTCGGGCGCTGGCGGCTTACAGACACTTGGCTGAACTAAGTTTATCTGATGACAGCTTGAATTACAGTTGTTTCTCCCTCCCCGTTATCTCCACATCTACTCACCGTACGAAGCTTTTTCACGCCGGACATTTTTCGAGTGTAACACCGCCGTAGGACTGCTGAACTCCGGGGACTCACTCGGACCGCTTCGGACAGGCCTGGATGAGGGAGCTGGAACCTCCAAAATTTGGTTATCGAGGAAGACGGAGGGGGGTTTAAAAAGGGACGTCCAGCTTCCAAGACACGTAGCATTCCGCTAGACCAGCCTCCAGGCTTTCTTCTACTCCTCCTCCGAAGCCTAGAAATCTGCATACTTCTTTAGTGTGGCGGTCTCCAGTGACATGACGGGGCCGGGCACCTCACCCGACCCGTCTGGGACAGAGGTCGGGCGGGATATTTACTTATATTTTTACTTTGTAAACTAAAGTTACACATACACTGTGTCCAAGGAACGTTTTTGTTCATATTACTTCGAGTTTATATCACTCCCAGTTCAGGTTACAAGAAACACACGGTTACGAGGCAGAACAGTAACTTCAGCAGGGATATTACAACTAACGTCCGTTGATTTACGTTAGCTTTATTACAGTATATTGGGGCAAAAAGGCAGAACGTTTACGTTACTCTCCGGGTTATACAGTTTCACACTACCGTAATGTTATTCAGCCGAAGTCTTTCACACAAAATTACGTTCCCCATCTTGCAGGTTAAACGATTTGATGTTAAGTGAGGGATCAAAACTAACTGCCAAATCCCCCAAACCTGCAATGGAACTCTGTGTTCCAGTGAGACAGGTAGATGATATACCAACGTGTTATTTTAAGAGGCTTTACCTGAAGACCACATACTGCAATAAGGGCAGTCATAGTTTATTTAATACATTAATAATGTGTCATGGCTATACACACAGGGTTATTTGCTTTATGATTCGCAATTAGTGACACTTGTTGGCTACAAATGATATCCTACACAAAAAGTATTGGCATCAAAACATACTTCAAGTACAAAAGTAAAAGTACTAATTTTCCAGTAGGCCTATGGCCCATATCAGATGTTACATTTTTGTATTATAGTTATAATCAATGCATTAATGTCAATGTTCACTTGGTAAAGGTAGGGATTATTTAAATTGCTTGCTATAGCCTACTGCTGGGTAGTTCAGCATATTGATTTATTAGTTGATTTATATTCTGTGTTATAAATCCATACCTGCAAAGTAGCTAAATCAATTTATTAAAAACATGTAGTGGAGTAAAAACCAAAAAATATGCCTCAAATGTAGTAAGTTAAAGTATAAAGTAACATCATGGGAAAATGCTCAAGTGAAGTACAAGTTCCTCACAATTGGACTTACTACTTGAGTAAATGTACTTAGTGACATTCAATCACTGATTATTATGCATGAAACTAAGTTACACTTTACCGACCACTAACAATGATAACAACGCATAGATGCATCGATAATGCATGGAATACTCTATCAAAAATATCTAAATTAGTTTACTATTTTTAATTAAATCCTACAATAACATGAATAATATATATTGTATAAAGAGAAAATAAATAACACCCGTTCACAAAACAAATAATTTACCAGACAAAAGTACGATAAGAGAAATAAGGACCAGAGAACTTGTAAAGTTAGCCCATAACTTAGGTTACAGTTTAATCAAACCATGATCATTACATTCAGAGCAATAAAACGGAAACACGCCTGCCAAAAATATTTGAATAGGAAACTAAAAGGACTTGTAAGGAAAGTGTTAGTGTAATGTATTAAACACCACCATTCATGTCGTCATTCAGACAGACCACACAATCTTGTGCTCTTTCAAACCAAGAAGAAAGGATTTTGGTAAAAGCTAAATAAAATGTGTACACTGCAAACACAATTTAACTGCTGGAGAGAAACCTTAGCAAAAGCAATACTGTAATGGTACAGGTTGTATGGAATTAAAAGCTAGGCCGGGATCAATTTCTGAAACTAAATCTGCATTTTCTCAGCCTTAAGGCGAAGCGAGTTAAAATGTTTTCTTATGTTTTTCTTCTTCCAGATAAAAGGCCATGCCAAACAATGATTTGAACATGGTTTAGGCATAGAGGCCCCGCTCACACGGGACCGTTTGCGTTTATGCACAGTATGCGTATTCAAAAAAGTCTTCCGTTCACATGCATTTGTTTCATTTAACGTGTCTGTTCAAACGAGGCCGCTGGAAACGCTGTAGTATATATGCTGGGACTGTAAGTGGCGCTGTAACTTCCGCCAAAATACAACAAAAGCCGCGAAGAAGAGCAACCGAGCAGCCCCGCTGCAATGTTGCCATGGCTACCCTTCTGTTTAAGCCCCGAAACTGAAACTGAAAGAAACTGAAAGAAACCGAATCTGTGGATATTGCATCCCGACCAAGAAGCACGTCTCCGTGGAGAGGACGGCTCAGAAAGAGAGAGATATTCTCTACAAACACCGGGTGAGATCCTCCTTTGTCAATATAATGGATCAATGCATGAAATCTGACTCTGTTTATTTTGTTTAAGGAGTATATTGGGCGTTAACAATTCTGGTTTGCCTTTTATAATATTATTTCATTCAAGAACCCCTTGTGCATTTAATTAACACAGCTATTTTTGATAGTTGCTACAGCAGTGAGCAGGAGAGGCGGGGCTATCGTTATTTTTTCAGGAAATATTCGTATCGAGGTGATTACACGGACTCGGTTGACCCCCCAGAGCGTTTCGTTTGCAAATCTATCCACCTTGGGACCCGTTATTGTTTGTGGGGTCAGTTTCTATCGGCCTCGTGTAAATAATAGGGCTATACGCACGCGAAACTATGCAGATACAAGCAGTTTTCTCCTCGTGTAAACGGCGCCTTAGACTCTGACACTCCTTTATGGGGACCACAATGTTCACACCTTTTGCAATTAAAATACATTAAAGCCACTATAATGACCTCTTTTCCTGGATCTTCCCTGTCTACCCAGAGTTAAGCAGGACTCTTGGATAGCTGACATTCGGTCTCAAAATCACAGCCTTTGAGCAGCTCCCTGTAGTTCTCTTTGACGTCTTCATATCGAGGCATGGAGGCCTGCTGGTCGCTCAACCCGGGGAAAGTCACAGGCTTCTCGTTGAGCAGCGCCTGCAGCCTCAGGTCTCCGGCTCCACAGTCGTACAGCACCAGGAGGAGGTTAGCTGCATAGGGCAACATGTGGCTGGTGCGGAAGGAGCGTTGGGTCTGTGTGGCGTAGTTGGTGGAAGTGATTGATCCGTTGTTCTTGAAGAAGCCCAGAAGAGTGAGAAGTGGCAGGAGGGTCTCTGCATGGCCCACCTGGACTGTCACAGCTTCAGTCACCTGCTGATCTGACCTGACATACACAACATAAAACATCAGTTTCAGGTGTTAAACGCACAATCTGCTCAGGGACAATTAAGCCTGATGCTGAACCAACCAGCAAAAAAGTCATGTGGACACCTTAAACTAGATGTTGTAGATATTAGTGCTGAAACGAAAAGTTTTATAATCAATTAGTTGTTTGCCATGATTTGTTTAATAATCAATCAATCTATAGAGACAAGACATTTAAATTTGACAAAAAACCTAAATAGTAGATTACATGAAACCTCCATACTGGTAACTAAAGGATTGCATATCTTTCATCAGGATAATTGATTAAAAAAAAACAGTAAAGCAATGCCCTTTATTATTAAATCTATTCAATTTAAGGTGTTAAACTTGAGATTTTATGGGACTGAAATGAAATTTGATCTCTGTGCTTGAAAGAAGTTAAAGAGTATGCAAATACTTGGAAAGTTATCTATAAATAGATAATTGTTTAATTATTAAATGATCTGATGAGGCATTCTCACTTTACTCACACTCTTCATCAGAGTGGTTATGCAACTAAACCTCCCATGGCTTTATTCTTAGAAAAAAATCACGACAAATTAAGACTTCAAATCTGTTACTTAAAAGTAAAAAAATGAACAATTTGTCAATAATCTATTGGAGTAAGAACTTTGTGTTTATCTGTGTTTGTTTCTAGTAACTCTAGGACTCAGATTGAAGTGTGACTTTTAGCCTACATGAACAGCAGAGCTTGGGTATAGTGGACTTATTGGCCCAAACAGTGCAGTTCTTAGAAACACTGATGGACAGAGACCTGTGTTTTTAAAATTGCATAAATAAACCAACTTGTGTAAATAGACTGGTAGAGAGCGCTGACCTCTGCCAAGGCCAATTGTGCAATTGCATGGATTTTTCCAGTCAGAACCTAATTATTCTGACACTACACGAATGCAGCACAAATGCACTTTTTTTGCGAACTAAATTATAATGAAACATAATTTGTCCCTGGATTCACATTCACTTAAAAATTAAATGGATTCTTTCTTCACCCATGCTTCAACCTTCTACCAAGTTTAATGAAAATAAGGTCTGTACTTTTTCTGTAGTCCTTATGACAACAGAAAAAACCACCGCCTTGCCAAAGGATCTACAGGTGTCATATTATACCCAACCAAAAGTTAGAAATTATAATCCATTTAATTTACAATAATATAAAACTGAGAAAAACAACAAGACCATGAAATTGGAGAATCTGCTTTGACAGCAACAAAAGTTGTCTACCTATATTTTGCTTGAGCTTTTTATTTAATCTACAAATCATTTCAGCTCTACCTATAAGAGTTACACGTGTAGTGTCTTGTTTTATAACTCAGTGTCTTACCATGCAGTGATTTGAAAGACAAGACTATTGATATTCAACATTTTTCCTATTGTTCACACATTTAGTTAAAGACGTAACCAACAAATAATTTATCTAAGAACAAATATGGTCTGTGTGTTGAATGCCTGATATATATGAATTCTAAATACCTCCATCACTGTTCAAAATGTATTAAAAATACATTAATGAGCCACACAGTTGCACTGTTGCACCTTTGTTAGTTTTAATTAACAGCGGCAGTGTAGTTTAGGGCACTCTCATATACGGTAAACTGTCCTGTTGCTGTAAATACGTCTAGCAACCAAATGTGTATTCATCCACAGATAAAAATAGTACCCAACACATTCCCTGCAAGTTGTACGTATTTAGTAAGGATGTTGCTATTTCCCAGACATTTAAATTAAAGTTTCAAATAAGATTAGTCTGAAAGTAAGAAAACTTAAAATTGAGCACAATTTAATATATAGAGTTAGACATTGTCTGAAAAAGTATTGAATATGTTTTAGGAGCATATGTTTGTACTCACTTGTTCTCATCGGCTGCTTTGTTCAGTCGACTAAACACGTCATGGAAGAGAATGCAGCTCGCTTTGCTGTTAATATCATAACCGTAACCTCTTTTCCAGAATTGCTTTAGGTCGTTGGCATACTCCATAACCTGTTGAACCAGAAAGTACAAATCATTGCTACAGCTTTTATTCTTTTGTAATGGGGTATAACATTTCAGTCTTCCCGAGTGATAGGTCGGCTTGTAACACAAGACACAAAACACTATTTGTGACATGGATAACGGCAAAAGGTTTCTCGACAAATGAATTACGTTACAATGCAGAGAAGGCTTTTATACAACCTTTTTTTTTTCATTTAACAGTTTTTATTTGTTCATTTAACAGAGACAATACCGTTTTACCAATGTAATCAACTCAGCAGAAGTCAATTTGCAGCAGTGAAATTCAAAATTAAATTAAATTCAAGTTAAAATAAATCGATTAGACATATTTCTGACCTTTGATGACATTGTTCCTGCATTAAATGAGGGTCTAACACTGATAGTGCCAAGTATTTTTAAACTGATAAGATAGGTCTGTTTGTTTGCTTAAACTTGGGTTATTTCCCTTTGTCTTTTATCTAGATGTTATGTTCCTTGCATTTAAGAACATGTTAAGTTATAATGTGTACAGTTTATATTGATTTGTACACATTTGATTTGAAAAAAAATAACCTGAAAAAGTAAAACACTTCACAAAAGTAATCTATTATGATAAATAAACAAGAGTAATTTCACTCAGAATTAGGTTACTGACCAATAAATATCTCCTCCAAACAATTGTTCAGTAGCTGAGTGACGTACCTGTGCATCCACCTCATCAAAAAGCTGACACCAGGGGGAGTTCACGGTCTTGATGGCAAACTCATAAGCACACAAATAAAATGCAGCTTCGGCCATATCTGCAGCAAAATGTTGATAAGTAAAATCAGAGAGGACAGTCGGCCATTAAAGCTCGGTTAAGTAACATCAGAAAAGCAAGCTAAAGTAAGACAGAAAAACCCAGCCCTGTCCCAAATCTTTTTTCATACGGAGAAGGTACCAGCACTAGCTCCTAACAACAAATACATTCTAAAACAGATCACCCAACATAGATTTAAAAAAAAGATTTGTTGATTTGATTACTTGTAAGTTTGTTGAAAATGTTCACCACTAAAGTACAATACCAACTGGGTCCTGCATTATTTTGTAATAGTGTAGCCCTGTATTGTCAAGGTGCCCTGCTGTGTCTTAATCTAGTTCTTCCACATGTATTGGTTGACTTCGTGCATGTTACCAGTGGCAGGTAAATAAGGCTAGGGGAGGCTAAGACTTCCCTAAATTGTTTTTTCCTATACTATTGTGCAAAACAATGTTTTCTAAACGTCTCACATGCATGCTCATTAAATAAAGAATCTGAATACTTGCTCTACGACTGACCGTCATTGATGGTATTGTAGGGGACTCTGAGACGGTCTGCAATCTTCTCCGTGACCCTCCTCATTTCTGGTCCCTGTCTGAACTTGACTACCTCTGACAGAGCTGTGCGGTTCTGATCAACTTCCTGCACAAACCTGGTGCAATGGTCAAAGAACCTCATGAGAGCATCATTCACTGCGTGGTCAAACTCCTTATCTGTGTAGGAAAAAAAAACATATTACTCTGATAATCTGTTAAAGTGGTGAATACTTTTATATTGTATTGGCGGTAAAGTTAGTTTGAGGTTGGATATTTGACACGTCACTGCATACTTTTACTGAGTATCATGTACTGGGGGCAGTCACATCTAATAGTTAGCTCAGACTCGCTTTCTTTCTAGCCTTAACATGAAGTAACATTAAGTAACCCAAAATGTTAAATAGTAAGAGTAGTAGTCATATTTCGTGAACCCTTTGAATAGTACTGTCACCGGTGTGATCATTCTATAATACACAATTTAAGCCCGGGGGAGAAATGCTAACGCTAATGCTAGCATCGGCGATCTTCTCTACTTCATGCTATCTGCACAAATGGTTGACATTAAACATTAAAAAGACCAGGCTGTTCAGAGAGAATCAAAGGAAGGCAGGCAGGCAGATTTGCATGACATTCTTCAGGACGTGTTTCATTGTGGTGATAGTGAGGGGAGTCAATCGTTTTGTTGACAAGACAGTAGTGACGGCCATCTTGGTGACGTGTGTTGTTCTGTGAGACCAGAGAAGTAGTTCATTGAGCGTTTCACACAAACAAATGTGTTACTTCACAGTTTTACGACACATTTTTTTTTTTTTGACTTGCAAAATTATCTTTTAAATTGACAAACATCATATGTGTAATTCGTGGCACAATTCAAACGGGATCGAAAGATAATCTTTATCTCTCCATTGACTTCAATACATAATTTTTTCGAAATAAGGTCCCATGGAGGTCCACCGGAAGGGGAGGGACTTCGCCACTCTATAGAGTGGCGAAGTCCCTCCCCTTCCGGGGAAAAAAAAAGTTATGTATTGAAGTCAATGGAGAGATAAAGATTATCTTTCGATCCCGTTTGAATTGTGCCACGAATTACACATATGATGTTTGTCAATTTAAAAGATAATTTTGCAAGTCAAAAAAAAAAAAAGGTGTCTTAAAACTGTGAAGTAACACATTTGTTTGTGTGAAACGCTAAATGAACTACATCTCTGGTCAACAACACACGTGACGTCACCAAGATGGCCGTCACTACTGTCTTGTCAACACAACGACCCTCACTATCACCACAATGAAACACGTCCTGAAGAATGTCATGCAAAGCTGCCTGCCTGCCTTCCTTTGATTCTCTCTGAACTGCCTGGTCGTTTTAATGTTTAATGTCAACCATTTGTGCAGATAGCATGAAGTAGAGAAGATCGCCGATGCTAACGTTAGCGTTAGCATTTCTCCCCCGGGATTAAATGGTGTATTATAGAATGATCACACCGGTGACAGTACTATTCAAAGGGTTCACGAAATATGACTACTACTCTTACTGTTTAACATTTTGGGTTACTTAATGTTACTTCATGTTAAGGCTAATAAAAATGACAAGGCTGTAATGCTAACTAACGTGCTAGCTACTAGCTAGGTAGCTAACTTGATCCACACACTCCTCTTTCATCAGACGGGAAGCGAAAGAACGAGCAAGACCCATTGCTGGTATAATAACAACCTGGTACTAAGCACACAGGCATCTTGTTAAAGTTATCTTATCTTAGCCAGCGCCATATAGATAGATTATATCTATATGGCGCTGATCGTATATATACGGTATTATACGTATATCGTAGTGTCTCAATTGTGACATCACTTACGCGACTCTGGGATTCGTAGTCTTTCTAGTTGCGTATTTTTCATAGTCTTATATTTCAACAGTTTTACGACAAACTGTGACTTTTTTGACATGGAAATGATTTTTTAAGATTGACAAACATCATATGTGTAATTCATGGCACAATTCAAACGGGATCGAAAGATAAGTTTTCTCTCCCCATTGACTTCAATGCATAATTTTTCCGAAATAAGGTCCCATACCCCGGAAGTAAGTGGGAGGGACTTCGCCACTCTATAACAGTGTCTTACAATTTATTGACAGTCCCTAATTGTAAACTGGTCCCTAAATGAAACCCTGTGTGCTCTGTGTGAGATAACAGTCCTCTGACAATCTGTGAAACTGAGGAAAAAGATGCTGGATGGAGTGAAAGTCTGTCAAATATCAACCCTTAAACAAACATCACCTCGGTTATTTGATCACGGTCATACCTGTAATCGCCCACAGCTCTGTCAGTCCTGCCTTGAAGGACAGCGTGCTGTTGACACACCTGTGCTTTGAGCTGGTTATGAATTTGATGAATCCTCCTCGGAGCTTCTCCTCTGAGATCAGAGAGGGGAACAGCTTTGACAGCCTGATGGCCAGATGCTTGTGATCCTCCACACCTTTCTGCACCAGTCTGCCGTCCATGTCCTCAGTGTACCACATCCGCCACTGACTCTTGATTTCCCGCAGCCAGCTCTCTTTGCCCGAGGCGCTGCTCATGACCAGCTCGTACAGTTTCTGCATCTTCTTGGCGTTTTTGCTCGTCGGGTACCTCGTGCCATGTCTTATTATGGCCGTCAGATGAAATGGTTGACATTGTGCAGATGGAAGCTGAAGGATAGATGTGTTTACAGCGAGTATGTCCTTTATGAGATACGGGTTCACTTCCTCATACCTTCCTTTCGTGGTGAAATATTTGGCGATTGCTGGTATGTCCAAATTGTCCTCATGATTCACAGAGTCACGAAAACAGATGACAAAGCTAGTTGAGATCGTGATAAAAACAACAATGTTTTTCCACAAAACGACCGGCATGATGAGACATGTAGGCTACTTTTTGTTTGTATGGCCGCGTGCTCCCGACCCCACAACTGATGCCGTCACCACGTTGGACTTTTCAACCAATCAGAGCCTGTCCCATAAATTGCACTAAGTTTACATAATGACAAATAATGAAAATTGATCAGTTTTGATCACGTGACTGCTTGTACTTTAGTAGGTGAGGTGACTCACAGTGTAGCAATGATGTGTTAAAGGTCAAAGTCCTGCATTTCTAAAGAAAAAAAGGATTATCATAAAGTGTAGGCTACTTTACTAAAATACAAAAATACAAATACTTATTAAGCAGCATCGCCCATTTCACAATTATATAAATGTAAAATATTACTCAGTTAAAAATACATTTTGGGCTGGTATTGTAACCATATACTGTAGCTTGTGATTTCAACCACACGATTAATAGTTGTATCCATAAAATACATCAAATGTGTAAATAAACTAAGAGTAAATGTACTTAGTATACATTTTAACATTATTGCTATCTACCAATTAATGACCCACTGAAGATTACCTTGCCTACTGTATATATAGAAATGTATTTATTGGGATAAACCCCTTGAGATGCACCATCTCGTTTTCAAGGGTTACTGTCTATTGTATTCACCATCCTGCCATTTTATATAGTCTATTATTTTTTGTTTTGCAGATAATATATTCCGTTTTTACAAGCTAATCTTGTATTGACAGAAAGACAGCCAGAAACATTTAGTTAAATTCTCAGTTTTCAACCCAGTGCTTCAAAAAGTTAGTGCATCCTGAACATAGCAGCAATGTAATCAACTTACAAAATCAATATTTGAAATGTCTGAAGCAGTACATTAAGAAGATGCTCATTCATCTCGCAACATGTTCAGGGTAAGAGTATAGTGTTTATTTAGCTTAGCAAATAATACATACAAAGCCACTATAAACCTATTTTCCAGGATCTTCCCTGTCTTCCTAAAGTTAAGCAGGACTCTTGAACAGCTGACACTCGGTCTCAAAGTCACAGCCTTGGAGCAGCTCGCTGTAGTTCTCTTTGACGTCTTCATAGCGAGACATGGAGGCCTGCTGGTCGCTCAACCCGGGGAAAGTCACCGGCTTCTCGTTGAGCAGCGCCTGCAGCCTCAGGTCTCCGGCTCCACAGTCGTACAGCACCAGGAGGAGGTTAGCTGCATAGGGTAACATGTGGCTGGTGCGGAAGGAGCGTTGGGTCTGTGTGGCGTAGTTACTTGAATTCAGGGATACGTTGTCCTTGAAGAAGCCCAGGAGGGTGAGCAGTGGCAGCAGAGTGTCTGCATGGCCCACCTGGACTGTGACAGCTTCAGTCACCTGCTGTCCTGACCTGACATTCACAACAAATGGGCTTCAGAATTAAAGATATGTTCTGCTGTGACACAAGGATCTGCATTACATAAATATAAGTGTTTAGTATAAATAAAACACAAGATAATACTAACCCCTTCATCAGGCAGATCATTTGACTATAGCATCATGACACATCCTGCTCTCATGTGTTATCTTCTTAATGCTGCAATATTTGCATTTTGGCTGGTGCTGTGTGCATTTACTCTGCAATAACTTATTAATTCAGAGAATTTGCTCAATCGCCATTTTTTATTTGCTATTAAAAAAGACAACGTAATAGTCTTGTGTTTAAACATGCATGTGAATCTGAAGTTAACAGAGACAATACAAATAAATGGTTGTTGAGTGGCAAATGAGTTGCTGGTATTTAAAATCTATATTTTTCTTTCTAACATGAAAGCAAATTAGCAGCATTTAACAATAAATCATATTGATTTTGGTGATCCTGGCTCTGGTATTCCCTGGAATTGTATCAAAACCAAATTCTGTAATATCGCCTGCCAATATGGCTATAAAACAGAAAATGAAATCTTTATCTTTAAGAAATGTGGGGTGTTAGACAAGTGTTTATACCACATTTAGATTCTATATGAGTCTAAGGGCACATTTTAAACCTCTACTCTATACTTTATGGGACATGCTGAGTAAAACCAATGACACAGATGATTATTTTTCCTAATCCAATGAATGCATTCATCTAAGTTTTCAAGAAGTATAACCTACATGTGTACGGACTGCAGGTTATTATAGCGTACTTACTTGTTCTCACTTGCTGCCTTGTTAAGTCGGTTAAACACGTCATGGAAGAGAATGCAGCTCGACTTGCTGTTAATATCATAACCGTATCCCCTTTTCCAGTATTCCCTCAGGTCACTTGCATACTCTATTACCTGTTGGTGCAATAGTATAAATGTAACCTGTAAGTGGGAGGCTTTTAAAAAATATATATTTTAAGAAGGGTCAATTTAGCATTTTCTGATACGACATGTTCAACTGCATGAGTAAACACGCTTTCTTTTACACATACAGTAGTGCCAAAGGATTTTCTCAATGAGTGAATGGTGTGGAAAACAAGCAATACATTTAGATTTCTTAGTGTATACTCCTTAGAAACGAGCATTAGGGAATCTAAACTATTTTTATTATGCTGAAGCTGCCGTTTATATCTGACCCAGATCAGACCGAGCTGTTTAACCTAAGTGTCTGTTAATTATATTTTATGAATAGATTTTTATCATTTTATTTACCTTCCTTCCCCCTGATTTCTTACTTTACTTTATTATATTTTTGTATGAAATTATGTAATTTATTTAGATGTGTATACAATGCATTTTCACAAGTGCACATTTTTAGTAGCATCTCATATTCATTATGACATGTCACAGCAGACAAAGCGTATCTTCTTGGTTGTGCACGCTGGCTCCCTGTCACACTGTCATGCCTTCTTGGGACACTTGAATAGAACAGAGCTATCAGTAATGTTGTTTGTGACACCTGTGCCGTTCCTGCAATCACGAGAGCCTGTGAATGGTCTATTGTGCAGAGGAGCATCCTGTTTGTTCTCACAGTAATACAATACTCCATGAATAAATGAACATGCACTTACCACATTTGATCTACATACAATTGAATGCCAATTTCTCCTACCTTTGCATCTTCCTCATCGAAAAGTTGACACCAAGGCGAGTTCACTGCCTTGATTGCAAATTCATAAGCACACAGGTAAAATGCTGCATCAGCCATATCTGCTGGAGAAGGGTGGGTATAACATGTTTAGTGGTGAAAGCATGGAGGAGACTCAGCCATTTACAAACCTGAAATTCCAGAAAAATACTTCCTTCTACAGTATACAACACAAACACTACAATTGCTCAAAAAGTAGTTTATCTTAATCTTAACATGGAAACATTTGAAAATACACTTTATTATTGCATCCTTTGGAAGACTATAATACTTATTCAAGGCTATGAATAAGTGCTCACTACAACCTGCTACAGTGTGAAATGTGATCATTGAAATGTTGAGAACACTAGCCTCCCCAACACTTTACAGTCTACTCTGACGTGCAATTACTGATATACAGTGTGGTTTCAGGCAGTGACACAAATGTAATTCTGTAAATTGGTTTAAGTAAGCTTGTTTTGCATGTTACATTTGTTTAATGTAAGAAATATTTAACTGCAAGTTTTGTATGAAGGGTGCTAGACAAAAAAAGATAGTGTGTCATTATTATTTGGATGATTATGATAGCACATTATCTGGATTATTCATTTAAGAAACCCAGTTTATAGGATGACTGAGAGCATGGGTCATTTCAAGTTATGAAAAAGGCTACACGATTTCAGAAAATATGTACACAACACTCTCAACAGTGTAGAAAAGTAGTGTTTCTGCAGATATGACCTTGTGTGATGAGACTGTACTGGACTCCGAGACGGTCTGCGATCTTCTCCGTGACCCTCCTCATCTCTGGTCCCTGCCTGAACTTGTTGATCTCTGACAGAGCTGAGGAGTTATTATCAACTTCCTGCACGTACCTGGTGCAATGGTCAAAAAACCTCATGACAGAATCATTAATTGCATGGTCAAAGTCCTGATCTGGGTAGAAAAAAGGGAAATGTTATTATGAAAATGTATGTTGTAAATCATGATACATTGTATTACAGTCATACCTGTAATCGCCCACAGCTCTGTCAGTCCTGCCTTGAAGGACAGCGTGCTGTTGACACACCTGTGCTTTGAGCTGGTTATGAATTTGATGTATCCTCCTCGGAGCTTCTCCTCTGAGATCAGTGAGGGGAACAGCTTTGACAGCCTGATGGCCAGATGCGTGAGCTCTTCCACACCTTTCTGCACCAGCCTGCCGTCCATGTCCTCAGTGTACCACATCCGCCACTGGCTCTGGATTTCCCGCAGCCAGCTCTCTTCGCCTGTGGCGTTGTGAAGAACCATGTTGTAGAGCTGCTGCATCTCCTTGGCGTTTTTGCTCGTCGGGTACCTCGTGCCGTGTCTTATTATCGCCGTCAGATGAAATGGTTGACATTGTGCAGATGGAGGCTGCAGGATAGATCTGTTTACAGCGAGTATGTCCTTTAGGAGATGCGGGTTCACTTCTTCATACCTCCCTTTTGTGTTGAAATATTTGGCGATTGATGGTATGTCCAAATTGTCCTCAGGAGTTACATAATTAACTACACAGCAGGGGATGATGAGGACATGAATGACAGTGAACTTCCAAAAAAAAGTCATCATTTTCCACGCAAGAAAAGGCTTAAAATGCAGCTGTCCCCAAAATGTATCCAAATCCAAAACAACTGCGACAGTGTTTAAAATAGGACTGAGCAGAGTCCAGTCAACTTTGTGTCCTCACTGCAAGGTAAAGTAAACATATTATTTCACAATAGCAATTGATGACCACCGAAATGTAAATAGTAAGAATGGAAAATAAAGTCCTCGTTCAAAACTGGCTACATTTAATATTCTAATGATAAAATAAGTGTGAGTGAGTGCTGAATAAAGAGGTATTGCACAATTTTTTTTAGTAGGGTTTTATAATACACGCCATGGTCTGAGCTTCAAGTTTCAAGGTTCTTTATTTAGTCATACGAACATAGCTACAGTGTAGTTATGCCAATGAAAATCTTGTGTCACAGGCTTCTCCAACAGTGCAACACAAAACACAGATAAACAGAAAATATAGTGCAAGTAAATAGTATTACAAAAAGAAAAATAGTTTAAAAAGTGAAATAGTGAAATAGTGCAATAAGAGTCTATTTATTGAAATATGATATATAGTTAAATAGATAAATAATTTTTAAATAATTTTTAAGTAGCAGCCAGATGAATATTAAGTATGTTGTTTCAACTGTTCAGGTGTTTAACAGATTTTGCTTCAACATTTCAGGTGCTTAACAGTCTTATTGCCTGTGGGATGAAACTGTCCCTGTCTGGTGGTTTTAGTCCGGATGCTGCGGTAACGCCTGCCAGACGGCAGCAGACAGAACAGTTTGTGGCTGGGGTGATGGGGGTCTTTTATAATCCGGAGGGATTTCTTCCTTGGTTGTAAATATGTTTTATTGTTGTCAGTGTCAATCACAAGCACTCCTGTTTTTATGTGAGTAAATGGCAGTCAGACAATCACACTTTACACAGCATAAGGGCTTTTACAAATTAACCCGAATAGGTCTTAAAAGATTAAGTAAAACAGATCTGCTGTTGATCCATTAAATAATTACATCACGTAGGCTGATAAGGATGTAAAGTGACCAATAGAGACAGTGTATGTATTGTCAGGCTCAACTGAAGAAAATCGACTCAGTGCTGTTTCAAGATATGCCAACTCGTCAAACAGTAGGCTGATCAGTGGTATCAAAAGTAGTGTGAGTGAAAAGCAAGAATTAGTGCGAATATATTTATTAAGATGTCAAATGACACTTCTAAAGTTCAAACAAAAACAAATCAGACATTTTTTATTTTGTGCAACTTCATGGACTTTATAAGATGATGGATGACTTCCCCCACTACTGTCCAGCTCAATTAAGTATAATACAAATATCAACATTGGAATTGATCATGATCATATGTGTCTAGCTGTCAAAATAATGATTGTGAAGCATATTGTAATTTGATAAACTAACTTGGTCTTTGCAAGTTTTGCATTTACATTTATATAGAGATTTCGCTGTATTGTTGGAATAAATATGTTTGGTTCATATTGTTATATGGATTTCCACCATTACCCAATTCCACCTATTTCTGAGCTTTGGTTAAAAACCCTCACAACTTAAACAAAGAGTGTACTTTTTTTTAATCTAAAAAGCTAAATGATACGTGCATTAACACAACTTATTTTACATAAAATATATATGTTAAAAATATTTGGTGTGCTCGAAACTTCACCAATAGATGGCTTCAGATGAGTGACTGGGTTTGGCTCGTGCTCTTCCAACGCAGTCACTGTTGCTGCATTCAAATGCTCCTCCTGTGCTACAACTTTAGAGCTCCTATGGTGGTAACATGTCTTATCGGGCATCCTTTGCCTAAATAAAAACAAAGAAATATGCCATGAGATGTGAAGTCAACGTCAAAGTCAAAGTCAGCTTTATTGTCAACAATTCTACATGTGTTATACATCCAGAAATATCGAAATATCGTTTCCCGCAGTCCCACAGTGTGACATGTATACATAAAACAAAACAAAAAGGGCCTAGATAAACGTGGTATACATTAAACAAAACAAAAAGGGCCTTGTCCATCGTAGTGTTGTTTTGTTTGTGTTGTTGCAACCCATGACACCGCATTCCGTCTTTTTGTATCGTTAATATGTCTCGTACAACATTTCAGATGGTACATGAAGGCAGCACGGGTGACGGTGTGTAGGGAACTCCCAGATTCTCCAGTCACACACCGCCTACCCATGAAAACACCGGAGAGACCCACAGAGGGACGTGAGCTACATTGCGGTGTTAGCCTCTACTATTTGAAGAGAAGTCCTTCAACATTTCCACAGCAAGGTAAATACATTACACTCATATGTACTACTCATTTGTCGTAAGAAGACAAAGCTATCCGCTGAGCCCTCCTTGTGTATGTGTTTGGTCACTTAACACTGTGGCTCCAAGTCGTGGTAAGGTAACAGTTAGTTATGCTGTAGCACTAACTGAGTAAAAAAAACTCACCGTTGTATTATGTTTCGCTAAATTGCTCTACGTCTTCGCTTTTTGACAAGACTACTTCTTGACGTTTAATCTATCACCTAACGTAGTGTAAACTAGCGTTAACTAGTGCTGCTCACTGGCCTTGTGCTGAAACATTGTATCAGTTGTCGACAAAACCCTCTCCCGTTATCGTTAATCCCGACCCAATGTAATTGGCAAAGAAGCTAACCTTAATATCGGTTTGCGCTGCTGTGATTGAAAATCTCGCGTTAGTTGATATTAAGGTTACTACTACATATGAACAAATGTTTAGTATTCTACAAGCATGTAGCTAACCCGTTACCCCAAACCGCGCTATGAATCCAAGAGCCCTGGCTGTGTGTTAGCTAGCGAGCTAGCAAGCTAAAGCACAGAAGACGCCAGCTTGCCTATCTATTTTTAGGTGTTCAGACTTTAAGCTCTTAAACCACTCTATACAATGGTTGCTCAGGCCCTGGTGTGAATGAGAGCAATGATTTAATCACATTAAACCACCTGTGTCAGCCATGGTGTTGAGGTAACTAACGCTCACAGGTGTGCCTACCAACGTTACATATGCATTCAATCGCGGCATATGTATTCAGTTGCTGTCTCTCTCTGTAAATATTAACTATTTATTATTGGTAGTCAATTATGTTTTCCTGTATGTGCTTCCTGGCAGGGTCAGATGTTTAGCTTCGTTTATTCTCTTGAAAAGCACAGCGGAACCGGTGACCTCACTGTTTCCCCAAGAGGAAAAGGGGGAACTGTGATCCCATATGTTTGAACAGTTGTGTCGTTGGAGAAAAACCACCGCTGACATGCTGTGTATGACGGCTAACTCAAGATACAGTAAAGCAGTAAAACGCCTGTGTAGACAGCTGAGCCGACAGAGACATCGGTCAGAATACACAGAACACCGTTGGTGTGAATGGGGTATCTCAGAGGTGCTTGTGTAGCGGAACTGGTGAGGAAGCAACTTTTCACAGACACAAACAGTATGACTGCAGTCAGTGCCAAAGCAGGCACAATTTGTATAGTGAGTCAATGGGGTTTATTGTTGTCAATGCATCCAGCCCAGTTGCTGAGGAAGCCTCATTGCCAAGGCAAAGCATGTCAGACCATCATCAAGTGGAAACAATGAGTTTTCTGTAGACACAGCTATAACTCAGCCTTGAAAAACGGTCTGTTCTGACAACTAAACATATTGACATCCTCTGGAAAAACTGCTTTGTTGTCTTTGGACATTAGGAAATGTGTCAGTTAGCGCTTTTATTAAGTTTTCTGCTTTTGGAAGAGGAAAATAAGTGTTGTTGTTTTTACTCTGGATGTTACCCTCCTGCTTCACCACAGTGGCTGGTTGTTACATTCATAGGCACAGATTACTTTAAGACACAAGAGGTCAGTGTCATTTTTTTGAATGGAAACAGCTTGTCTTTACTGGATATGACGGATGAATTAGTCACACAGATATTCCATAGATAACTGGTAATAACATCCCTCTTAGTGATGTTTGCTTTTATCTGTCGGAACATAATGGAGAAGATGTTCGGCTGATGTTATATGGTCGGCAGTTTTAAAGCTGCATTACAAGCACCAGTGTGATCTTATTAAAGCTACCTTTTCTAGGAATAAAAGGGGTATTCCTCTGTCCAGTTGACACAAATAAACTTCATTCACTGACAATTAAGGAACTGCAAGTAAAACATGTAGCCCTAATATGAGGCCAACATACATTTTGCTTTCAGTTAGGTTTTAAATATGTTACAAAAGGACTTCAGATACAATAATAAATCACTGTGGGTTGTCATGCATCTACAATTAGACATTTGGCACTGCACACTCTTATTGGTCTTTACTATAACAATACCACTATTGCAAATGTTTGAATCTGCTCTTCTCAGCTACTTGAGCCACAACACTCAAACCACAGCTAGGGTTTAATGCTATTAGCTGATAGCCTTGGCCTTTTTGTTATTCTAGCCTATGGCAGTACAACGTTAGTGCCAACCAATAGCCATTGATCATTTGATAGATCATTTGATATCTTTCATAGGTTTTCCTCCAGAGAATTTGTTTGTAATGGCTTTAATCTTGTTTTCTGCCATAATTAGAAATGCATGAAGTTTTACTGCCAATCACATGACGTCCTAGTTTCTTGTGGCCTACAACTGCTGAAATATAGGCTAGTAGCACTTTGAAGTAGCCTGTTTTGGATACACGGGGGTTGTCTGTCGCCCCTTTTTTTTTTCAGACTCTCTAAATACGCACTTTGTTTTGCTTTTTTCAGACTCTAAATACGCACTTTTTGTTTTTCTCAGATTCTCTAAATAAGCACTTTCTTTTGTTTTTTTCAGACTCTCTAAATACCCCAAATGAATCTTTCAGAGGGTTAGGTTAGGCCGTTTAAAAAGTGGCAACAGATGACCCACAAGTACCCTGTTTTGTCAATTTCTGAAAGTTAATTGCCCAAATACAAGATAACATTTCCATAACACCTTTGGGAGAGAATTTAAATGACTTTAAGGGAAATTTGCCCCGTTATACAAATAGAAAGGATTTTAATTTAAGGCTCTATATTCCAGCAAGTGATGCGGGTACATGACAAATGCTTGTGGACAAGGAGGGGAGTGGTAGTATCGGTTTGGAATGTTAAGTAGAGCAAGCCACTGCTGTGAGGCCATCGTTCGTTTGTGTGTTTGGTGCAATTACCTGACCTGCTTATACCTGAGCTCCGTATCCCCCTGTCCTGACTTGTTTCAGATGTCTTCCTACACTCAGGGGACCTCCTACATTCCACCTTTGTTAATGAAGTCTCTACAGTTGATTTGTGTTAATGAAGGCATACCAATATAATTAATCAGTAAACACCAAAGAAGCGTAAGTGCCCTAGACCGGCTCCTGACCTAATTTTTAGCACGTTATGCCCTATTTTAAATGCAAAATGCATCATGATGCTATTTTGAGAGTAGTGTGACTTTGGCCAATAGCAGGCTGGTCACAATATTTCTTAAAGATACATAGATTAAAACCATATTATTATCGAGGAATGTGAAATACAGACTAATAATAAAGCATAAAGCAACATAAACACAGCATACAATTTAAAACATATGACTGTTTAAACGTAGTGGTGTGTTGTTTGAAAGACGGTAACCTGCAAGATTTGTTGATGTGCTATCTCCAGTCTCTTTAAATTGAAATACTTTTGATGACTGTCTTTAAGGACTCTCAAACAAGGTAATAATTAAGAATCACCATTTTTTTGTCTCATCTATTACAAAAAAAGTTAGGAAATTGCTACCAAAAGGTGCAAAGTCCATACAAGTATATCAAGCTGCCACTGTCGTTGACAAAGACCTTTGCAGTTTGGAAAGTTTGTATGTGAACACACTGATTACTCCCAGTTGACAGCAGGTCCTTTGGGTGCTATCTTGGATACAACTGCACCACATGCAGGGGAACACGTTGGTTCTCTGGGGCCGCGAGGGCCTGCCGTCCTAATGAGTGACTCATAAAGCCACAGGTGGTATTCTCATTAGCAGATCTCACCTACGAGTACAGGGGTTGTTGTGCCGCGCAGCTCAGCCCCCCCGAGACTTCTGCAAGAACTTTCCATGCTGTATGCCTTGTCTCATCTTTACCCTTGGCATAACAGTTTGCTCTGTTAGTTAACAGACTGATAGGATATAATATTGTTCTGTGATTGCACGGTTGCTAAGGCCAGTGATGATAAAGAATAGGTTTATTTGGCATTGTAGATATCATCATATTTCTTGGTTTTCCTAGTAGCAATATGCCAGATCAGCAGAGTGGTTTTGCAACATGGTAGTAAAAGAAACAGTTTCCAGGTATTTAGTCACTTATATTAAAGGGGACCTATCATGCAAAATGCACTTTGGTACGTCTTTTTATACATGAATATGTGTCCCCGGTGTTCCAGGGAACTCACCAAGTGTCAGAAAACACAACCCTCTATTTTCCTCCATACCCAAATCTCTAAAAAAGGGGCTGCAATGGATCTGATAAAAACTGATCCAGATTTGAACACTGTCCTGACGTCAGGAAAATGTCAAATTGAGCAAAATGAGGCATGGCTAAAATGCATGATCTGTTTGGTATTTTGAAAAAAAAAAAGTATAAATATGCCTTATATAGGTATGGTCCTATACTATATTATTGAAATATAGCATGATAGGTCCACTTTAAATGAACCGTCTTTTGCCAAGGAATGAAAATCGCTAAAAAGAAATATTATTAAATGGAATTTTCAATGGTGTATTTTTTTAAACTGTAAATCAAATTATACCACACCTTAATGTAGTTTAGTTTGTTTACTAACAACACAGGCTTGGATAATTGACCCCCGTTGAGCAGACTTTAAAGTGCCCACAATAGAAACATTTAAATGGTAATCATTTATTTGACCTCTTATTAGGATTTCACCTCTCATGAAAAATAGTTGTGTAGTTTTCTGACCATATTTCTAGCCAGTATTGTGGGAGGATGTTATGTAATGCATGTTTTGGAGCTTCTGTTGTCAACTGTTATGGCTAGCCTAGCAGATATTCCCTGACACATCAAATATCAGACCTCGCTGCCTGTGGTCTTTGTTCACAGTAACTGCAGTCATTCAAGGTCATCACACTGTTACATTTCTACGGTTCTTCATACTATTCCTTTCCTTTAATAGCTTGTGTGATAGTGTGGAGACCTTGTATCTGACAAGATGTTCCAAAATTACAATGGAATGATTTATCTAATATGAGTCTATGAACAGGACGTGCTTCCACGTCTCCAGGAACGGTTGTATGCGTGTCAACGTGGCATATGTTTGT